GCGATAACGTAACATTACCACACGTCACCAGCAGGTGGCGATAACGTCCACATCAACAATGTTTTAAAACAGAGAAAGAACTTCAACTTGTTTTTGTTTAAACTGTTCACAGTTTCCTCTGAGTTAATAACCACACGGTCAAAATTAAATCAAATGGACGAAGAAGAAAAAACGACCACAAGAAGTCACAATGAACACGCATGTAACATGTTGCTGGGTCAAGGTTTCTGATGAGCTCCATGTTTTTCTGCTTCGGAGAGCATTTTATAAAAATAAAACTAATTTGTTTTTAAAAAACAAGAAACGCAGCAGAGAAAGTCTGATTGTAAAAACAACCGGAGTACCAGGGATAAGGCTGGACTTTACAATGTCCTGGTCCAGGGAAGGTTGTTTTCAGAACACGCTTTAAACATGATGGATGCAGAAGCACAGATCATGGAGCAGCCGACACATATTTACACCAAACGTTCGGTTATCTTCATACATCACTAAAGAAACACGAAGTTCTGACGGTCCACTGCAAGAAAAGAGTAAAATGATTCTCTTTGTCCTTCTCCCACAGTCTGAGATGAGGACAGAAGAATCCGGATGCCTCGACACCGGCCCGGTTTCTGGAGGCCTCCGGGTGTCTCAGGCGTGAGACGACTCACTTTCACTAAAAGTGATGTCACCCGGCTGGAAGCTGCGTCTCGTCGCCCAGAGGTGGCGGGATTAGATTTACAGCCATCTCTGGGTACGTTTGCAGCCTCCAGCACGTACAGAGGTGCTGAAAGTTTGTGAACATTTTATAATTTTCTCTATTTCTGCATCAATCTGACCTCAAACATCTGCAGATCTTCACACAGGTCCTGAAAGTAGATGAAGAGAACCCAGTTAGACAAATGAGACTGGGTCATTTATTGATTGAAGACAATGGTCCAATAGATCTGTGAGTGGTAAAAGTATGTGAACCTCTGGGATTATCATTAAAAAGAAGGTGAAATTAGAGTCAGGTGTTTCCAATCAATGGATGATGATCAGGTGTGAGTGGACACCCTGTTTGATCTAAAGAACAGGATCTATCAAAGATCTTCTCAACACGTTTGTGGAACAAAGGAGGTTTCTGAGGAGTTCAGAAAGAGTTGTTGATGCTCCTCAGGCTGGAGAAGGTTACAGAACCATCCAACAAAGTTCAGTCAGGTCATCTGGACGGTTTCTTTTTTTTATTGAGAGATGTTTCGCCCTCCATCCGAAGGGCTTCATCAGTCTGAGGAGCCACAAACAAACTGGTTTCTCCACTAAGCAGTACACTCCTACAGTGGACCAACCAGTTTGGCCACAGCCAAAGTGGTTCAAGACATGAAGGTTCATGCTCAATAATCCAGGTTGATTGAGGATAGGATTATTGAGCATGAACCTTGATGTTACAAAACATCTGTAAAGAGTTTGGATTCCACCGATCCACAGCCACACAGATTGTGGACAAATGGAGGAAGTTCTAGACCATTGTTCTCCTCCCCTTCCTTAATTTACCCTTCCTGTAGAAGAACCTGATCCCATCTGTGGAACATGGTGGTGGTAGTACCATGGTTTGAGCCTGTTCTGCTCCATTTGGGCCAGGACTTCTTGCCATCATTGATGGAACAATGAATTCTGAATTATATCAGAGAAGTCTGAAGGAAAATATCTGAACATCTGTCCATGAACAGAATCTCAGAGAAGGTGGGTCATGCAGCAAGACAATGACCCTTCAGTCCTTCAGGAACATCTGGACTTTTGTCAGAACTTCAATCCTTCAGGAACATCTGGACTTTTATCAGAACTTCAGTCCTTCAGGAACATCTGGACTTTTATCAGAACTTCAGTCCTTCAGGAACATCTGGACTTTTATCAGAACTTCAGTCCTTCAGGAACATCTGACATCAGATCCACAAACAGAAATGAAGGTAAAAAGATTTTCTTACTGTAAGACGAGGCGTCCTCATCAGCCTTCAGTGTCTCTGTGTTCATTTCCAGTCCTCCATGTCCCCTCCTTCCGTCTTCATTGTCCCCTCCTTCCGTTTTCATTGTCCCCTCCCTCCATCCACACCTGTCCCCTCCCTCCATGTCCCCTCCCTCCGTCCTCACCTGTCCTCTACATCTGAGGAACTCCAGCTTGTTTCTGCTCTCCGTGTGACTCACCTGCGGCCTCGCACACCTGAAGCTGAAGGACCGCAGCTCTGGTTTCAGGTGGATTAAGTGTGTGTGTGTGTGTGTGTGTGTGAGTGTGTGTGTGTTTTATCCAGTTGAAGGATTTTCTCCTCAGGAAACGGTTTCATCTGACAGAACAGACAGAACTCAGTTTAGGTAACGAGGAAGTTTAGAAAACTGAGGAACTCGGGTGAAATGGAGCAAATGTCTTGAGCTCTGAGGACGTTTTCAGATTTTGAATCGTCCGAGGAGCTCGACGGCCTTAAAGTCCGTTAAAACGGTCCAAAGCAAACTGTCTGAAAATGGTTTTCGGTTCAGTCGCTCCTCTGAACCATTTTCAGATTAAAGTTTTTGCTTCTTGACGCTAATCTACGGATCATAGCGGCGCTCAAAGCTGCTAACTAAAGGGATGGACCAGAACTGCTGCCTTGTTTTGATAAAGACGTTTTTGACGAGTCATCGTCGTCACAGCTGGACCGAATCGTTCCGGACTGAACCTTCGATTTGTTAGAAATAAATACGTATAAAAAGACATTTGACCTTAACGTTTAATTGTCTTTGCTACAAACTTTACTTTGTACAAAAAGTCCGTTTGTGTTCCTAAAAGAGCCGCAGTTGCTGCTAGCTGATGCTAATAGCAGTTAGCGCTAGCTAGCAGCAAGTCAAGTTGTGTATTCTTTTTAAAGCAACATTTACGTCCTACAAATACAAAAAGTGGAGGAAAACACCTTTATTCTAAAGAAATGTGGCCCAGAACGCACGGTTTTAACCATTTTGTTTCATAACTGACATTTTCTTTGGAAGGAGGAGCAGCCGGTGAAACAGGAAGTGACATCAAAGGGGAACTCCTTCAAAAGAGGAACTTATAAAACCCAAGAAAGTTCAAAGTACTGGGGCCCAAACTTACTGAGCGCTGTGTAAAAAGCAGGTAAAAAAAAAAAAACGCTTCAAGTCTGTTTATCAAACTGAACCTTTGGCCTTTCTTTTCAGTTTGTTCCTTTTTCTTCAGTTAAATTTACGTCTTTAGTACAAAGTTATTAAATAAATATGAGCTGAAACTTTATGAAAGCGTGCCAACAGCCCGGTGGACGAGCGGGTGGAGGAGGTGCGTCCTGACAGGGTAAGAAGAAACTTTAATTCAAACTATCGGAGAGATTTGAGCTTTAAACCGTCTCTCTTTTTCATGAGATTTATTTTTAGTCACTTTAATAATAAAATAATTGTTGATCTTTTAGTGTTTTGTGTCTGAGCTGACACTTCGGCTGCTTCTTTCATTTTCCTCCGGTGTCTGAAGCTAAGATCGTCTCTTGTCAGACGTCTCGAGGGTGACGCTGATCTTTCCCACGCCTCACACACACAGCAGGTGTAAATTTATGACGCTCCGCCGCCTCGTTTGCAGCTTCTCTTCGTGATAAAAAATAAAACGTGTTTTAGTTCAACGTGAAACTCCGAGCTGCTTAAATTCACCATGTGGACACAAACGCCGCTTCCCTTCGGCTGTGATGTCACATTTCTGACGCCTCACAAAGAGCAGAATAAATGCTTCTTTATTTATTTTTTTACCAAAATAAAAGATAGAAATCATTTAAAACACAGCGTTAGAGGTCGATCTAGACCAGAGCTATTCAACTAAACTGCTCAGGGGCCGGACATCCAGCACTTATTCTCATTAAATTTGCTTAATGATTTAAAATCCAGTTTCATTTAAACATGAACCCATTAGAGGGCCAAACTGGGCACACCCAAGGGCCTGATTTGGCCCCTGGACCGCCAGTTGAATAGCCCTGATAGACTGCAGGCCTCATTCCGGGCGGGGCCTCTTCAAGCAGAATCAGAAGCGAGTTTTTATTTCACAGATAAAAAAAAGTCGAGAGCTGATGTCAGAGGTGAGCTCGACTCTCCGGGCGCCTCAGAGACCGCTGGCTGTGGGAGGGAACGGTTCCAGCTACAGTTTGGGCATCCTGGCGGCGTTGAGGCGCATGGACACGCAGGTAGAGCCGGCGGCGTAGCGCATCTCCCTCAGCATGCCGCTCCACTGCTTCTTGTCGTCCTCGTACCTGACAGGACCAGGAGGAGACTCAACTCCATGAAACAACTAAAAACCAACATTTGGAGTCGACTTACTGCCAGACGTCGGTGACCTCTGTGGGGGCCACCTCCTTGTTCTCCGTCTGGACCATGGCGAAGCCCCCCACGGCATACAGGAGACCCCCGCTGCTAACCAGGTTCACAGAGCTCCTTTCCTGGGGGAACTCGGGGAACGGCTCCCACCTGCAGCGTTAATCACAAGAGCTCAAACTGAGTCGTGGTTCTGAATCGGACCGGACGGGTTCGTTTGGTTTTAGGTCGTTATTGATTCAAACAACTACGTTTTAATGAAAGAAGCCCAAAGTTCATCACTCCAATGTTAAAACATTTGATCTGCTCCACTGTGGATCAAATACAGGTTCATGACAGAATGACCCAGCTGTGCAGGTTTGGTTAATGATAGAATAATCCAGCTGTGCAGGTTTGGTTTATGATAGAATAATCCAGCT